TATAAAGAATTGATGGTGTGTTTACCTAGGGGTGGAAATCGGACGGATCGGATCGGATATGGGCCATTCGGAAAATTACCGATTTTTTTCGGAACTGAAATATCAATTCCGATTCCGATTCCGATGGTTTCGGAATCCAAGAACAGATTCCGATTCCGATTTTTTCGGAAATTTCGGAAAATCGGATTTTTTTCGGAATTTTTCATTTTCACATATTTCTTCAACACACCCAAAAAAAACACACAGGCAAACCTACAAACACAATTTCTTTCGGTTTTTTTCAAAGATCTCAGCAATATCATTAATCTGAGCACTAATTGTGAAAACATTTCAAATATGTTAACAATTTAGTTCAAGATTGCTAAGATCTGGTCGATCGAAATAAACGAGAAACAACCAAAAAGATTCTTAACGAAAAAAAGATGATCGATTGGGAGAACTGGTGCCAGGAGCGCACGGTGGCTGAGAGGCGGAGCAGTTGATGGGTTGAGCGGCAGCGACTTCAGAAGGAGAGGCGGAGAGGCGGAGCGGCGAAATTAGGTTAGAAAATCGAGAGGAAAAGGCAATAACAGCTGCATACTCTAAGTAGGAATATCAAATTAGGTCTAGAATGTAAAAGATGAGGACTACTTATAGTAATGGGCCAAAATTAAATGGGTCAAATATCAAGATTTTGAAACAAATAACTTGTGGCCCAACCCGAAATAGAAAAATTATAGTAGTCTTAGATTGTAAAATAATTTTTAAATACATAGAAAAATCGGAAATTTTCGGAATTAATCGGAAATTTTCGGAAATATTCGGAATTATTTTTGGATCGGAATTCGGAAATTCCAAAAAAAATATATCAAGTTCCGATTCCGATCCGATTTTTTTCGGAAAAATCGGAATTCGGAATTTCGGAAATCGGATTACAAAAAATCGTTCCAAAATCGGAAATATTCGGATCGGAATCGGCGGAATTCGGAAATTTCGTTCCGATTTCCACCCCTAGTCTTACCTCAAATCGAACCATCGTTTTCGACTATGAATGTGTGGCCGGATTCCTTGATAAGAATAAAAAAAATGGTTGTTACTGTTATGAAGAACTCATTTATTTTTCTCTCATTTTCTTAGTTTTGATTTATTTCCTTATGATATTATAAGAATGAAATTTTTTTGTCAGGAATTTTCTGAAGTTGTATCTCATGATATGTTCCTTTCTGTTTAACTTTGTTAAATGATGAACTCTCATCAATGTGAATATTTTTTTGGAATTTGTTAAATCAATTTTTTAATGATTATTGTTCATGTAGATGGCTTGGGAATTAATCACCTAACAAATGGTGAGTATTTTAGATTTTTTTTTTTTTAATTCAGTTTTGTTTTTCAATTTTCATGATGGATTGTTTACTACTTTGAGAGATCATGTTTGTGATAAAAAAAAACTTGACATTGTTTGTTGCCTATTGGAAAAATTCCATTGATTTGCATTGTATTCTAGATAATTAGTTTAACTTGATATTCATATTATTCTTAGGATGTGGTTTTTCCCTGTCTTCAATTTATTGATCAAATGACTTCTTTTTATTTAATCTTAAATGTTTCGATCTATCAAGTAACTTTAAATTGTCTTATTATTTTGGAAAACTATTTTAATAGAACATTTTAGACATACAAATGAGTATCTGTATTGTTGTCAAATTTTCCTATTTTAGATGAATGATTTAAGAGATATTAATTTTTTCAAATTAATATAATAATTAATCTATTTGGTTTTGTTAACTTATATTTGTTTTTCTCACGTTTGACATTTATGTATTATATATTTGTTCATGATTAATTGCAACTAAATTGATATTTATTTATTTTAATGAGACATTTTAGACTATAGCAATTACCTAAATAAGGGGAAATTTGGGATACACCCCTAGTTTTGAAAATATATAAGCATAGGTCCTATAAATTTTTCTTCTCTAGTCAAAAACCCAAATTCTAATCTTAATTTGACAGACCCCCCTGGACAAATTGAAATACCCATTTTGCCCTTTTAATTTCAATTTAAAACCCTAACCCCTCTCTCTTAACTCTCGTTCTATCCTCCCTCCTCCCACCGTCTCTTCCCTCTTTCACCTCCCACCTGCTCCGCTGCTCTGCCACCGGCGCAAAACCGCCGCTGCTCCGCCACTGCTCCGCCACCGGCATAAAATCGTCGCTGCTCCGCCCGAGCCTTGTGCCGCTGCTCCGCCACCGTGCTGCTCGGTTCCTTTCTCACTCTAACCATTCTTCCACCGCCCATCCTCGCTCCACCTCCACCGTTCAAGCGGTCGCTCCCCCTCCGTCTAGCGCCGCCGACAACGGATCTAGAAAATCGCTGTCTTTTTACAGCAGATCCGACACACAGTAGGTCGACTTGTTAATTTTAATTTGTTTACAAATCTCAGCCACGAATGTGTGTGTGTGTGTGTGTGTGTGTGTGTGTGTGTGTGTGTGTGTTTAAACCAGAAGTTGTGTACCCTCAGAATTTATTATCAATTGCGATTGCAGGTCTTGCAAGAGTACTTGGGTCCCGCTACGAACACGAGAATTTTACAGGACCGCCATTTTTTGCCGCTAATTCCTGCTTCTTCGAAGCTTCATGTTGCAAGCACGAAAAGACCTTCCACAATTTACTGTTTCAAAAACAACGCCCCTGAAGAATCTGTTAAGAAAGTAAGTGTTCGGCCTTTTACTTTTTTTTTTCTCTAGAACTGTATCTATAGTTGATTACAGTTTTCTCTTCATATTATTGCGGACGGAATAGATTCATGTTCGATGCTTGTATTTGATTTCGGGGACTTTTGGTCGGTGGATGGGAACTCATTAAACAATTGACATTCATACTGTAGGAAGATGATTTGACTTTTTTGTGTATATTTAATGGAATATATATTAACAAGAATTTTGTTATTATTTGTAATTATGTATGGATTGCACAGTAAGCGAAATCTAATATAGTTACGAATCGATTATGTGATACTGATTGATTTTTCATGAATTTGGTGCATACAAAACCTAGACACATGAATTTGGAACTGCCGAAAATTGCTGGATATATAGACACTGGATTGTAAGTTAATTTTCTGGTGAAACTGATTACAGAAGACTTGAAACTGAGAGTTTAAAGAAATTCAATGGTTCGTTCTCACAGTTCTTATGGTTTATCATCGTAAATATTGCCTTCGTTGTATTGACAATTAATTTTATGTGACCGTGTAGCTGATAGATTTTATTTAGGGATACTTTTAGAATATCTCTCTCGTAAATTTCACTTTGCCCAAAAAAATTATGATCGTATACGTTGTTGTTCGCTGGGCATCTTGAGAAAACTGTGACACTTGGTTCTTGTGATGTTTGTTCTGTGATTATTACGAACAGGTTTAATTCTCTATACATAACTATAGTCATGACTTTTTTGGTAGTGTAGATGAATTTTATTTATATACATATATAGTCACATGTGGACATGTACACGTAGTCATATATAGTCACATGTGGTCATGCACACGTAGTCATATATAGTCACATGTAGTAACATGAAGACATAACTACATGTGACTATAGTTGACTACATATAGTCATATATAGTCATATGTAGTAACATGAAGACATAACTAACTATAGTTCACCAAAGTAAATTTATCAAAAAAATGTTTTTCATTGTTTTTTTGTATTTTTCATGTAATGTAATTCGATTGTTTCATTTCGTTCTTCGCTTTCTTTAACTCGTATTTTTTTTTTGTCACAGGTTTTCCTTTGTATAACTTTATGAGATGCAGAGATGTGCCATGTGAAGTTGCATTCATGCTATATTACTCCAGACTATATGTCACTATATATTACTATAGATAATTGTAGATAACTATAGTCACGTGTAGTAACATATAATTATATGTATGTTATGTGTTTTGTAATAGTAATGTGTGTTCATGTTTTGAAGATTATATGCATGTGATTGTGTTTTTTTCATTTTTTTTTTGGTTAGTTGATTTATAATATCAAGATAAAAATTGTGAATTTTGTTGTTGGTATAGATTAATTTTGGGGTAAAAAGACAGTACATGATTACATATAACTATACATGACTGTGGTATACAATAGTCATGTATAGTCAATTTCAGTAAAATAAATTTATCATAAAAAAACAAAAATTAAAAGATTAAAAAATTAAAAAAAATTAAAAAATTCAAAAATTAAAAAAAATAAAAAAAAATTAAAAAAATTTAAAAAATTAAAAAATTAAATAAATTAAAAAATTGAAAATGAAAATAAATTAAAAAAATAAAGAAAAATAAAAAAATACAAAATAGGGTATATACAAAAAATAATAATAAAATAAACATTTATATTTTTTATTAAAAAAATCTATAAAAATGATAAATGCAGGCCCAAATGCTAAATGCAGTTAGGCATTATGCAGAATGCAGGGTGAAAATACTGAATGCAGTTGGGCAAAAATTGTAATTAAGGGCACAATAGTACTTTTACCTCTCCAGGGGGTTATCTCAAAGGAAGAATTTTAGGGGTGGACCTATCCCTATATATTTTCCATTCTAGGGGTGTATATCAAATGAACCCATTAAATAATTAACTAATAAGAATTTATTTAGAAAAATTATGTGAAGTTTTGCGAAACATGGCCAATATATTTTTAGAAATGTTAATATTATTACTGTAATTTAAATTTTACAGATAAATATTTTATTATTGTGTAATATATTTCTTACAATGAATTTCATTTTTATGTATTTAAATAATTATTTTATTCCCATTTGGAATGTTGTATCGTGCAACGCACGTGATAAATTACTAGTTAGTACTAAAAACGAGTATAAAGAAGGAATCCAAATTTGGTTTGGAACCCCCATAGTCTACTACAGTATTAACAACAAATAAAATTAAAACAAAATATAAAAAATATGTAAATTGAATTAAATAAATGAAAAGCGTGTTTTTTTTTTCGTAATTTTCCATAGTATATAGAAAAATAGGATTTTTTTTTTGGTTTTATATTAGTGTATAAAATGCTACAATGAAGAAAAAGAAAACAATAAGAAAGAACAATGTGTTTTCTGTAAAAATAAAAATAAAATATTAGATGGAAAAATGAGAATATTGTAGACTAAAAAAGATGACCAATGCAATTTGAATTTTACTTAATGCATATTTTAAATTTGTGAGTGAGGGGAATTTTTGGAATTAATTTTATAAAGGATGTGTAACACATGTTTAGTTAGACTTATCATTTAATTATAATAAGTTTTATTACTAGGGACCTAGTTCTTAATGTCCCTAATAATTATAAATCAACCTAAAATATTTATTGAATTGAAGGTAAATTCCACTTTCCCCTCTTGTACTTTGGCTTGATATCACTTTACCTCCTTCTACTCTCGATTGCATCGATTTGCCCCCTTGTACTTGTACAATTGTCTCAATGTGGCCCTCACCGTTAGCTTTCAGACCTTTGATCTTAAACATCGTTTGATCTTAGTCTAAAAATTACAAAAAAAAACCACCCCTCTCAATTTAAATAATTATTAAAAAAATAATAAAAAAAACAAAAAAAAAAGAAAATAATAAAAAATTCAAGACAACGAGAAAAATAGTCCACGACGACAGCAATTTTTATTTTTTATTTTTTTTAATAATTATTATTTAAACTGGAGGGGTGGTTTTTTTGAAATTTTTAGACTTAGATCAAACGGTGTTAATGTCAAATGTCCGAAAACTAACGGCGAGGGCCACATTGAGACAATTTTACAAGTACAAGGGACAAGTCGATGCAACCGAGAGTAGAGGATATCGAGCCAAAGTACAAGGTGGGAAAATGGAATTTACCCTAAAATTTAAGTACAAAAGATTAAAATTACAAACTTACACAAGTAACATGTTCCGAAAATTAAATTAAAAAAAAATTGAAAAAAAAATGTTGAAAGATTTATTATTAGTACAAAAAACGAGTATAAAGAAGGAATCCAAATTAGGTTTGGATACCCCCACCTAACTACCACCGAACCCCAAAATTCGGGCACCCACTTTTCTTTTTCTGTTTAGTTCTTTTTATTCTAAGTTATGAGTCCTAATTAAGGTGAAATTAGGTTTCTCCTTGTTCCCTATGTATATATATAAAACAATTAAACTCCTTTTCAAACCATTCAATTTCTCACCAAGCTCATTCTCAATTTGTCGATCTTCGTCGTCGCTCAGGTATGAATATAGATATATATTTCACATATATATTTCCCTATGTATATATATTTCTTGCACAAACCGAGAATTAATGTCATAGGCCTAATCCTCTTTTTTAGGACATGCATTTTTTTGCATCTTTTTCAATTTTTTGTTGTGGTTTTAGCTCTAACTGTTATTCTATAAAAATCACAGGAGCGAAGATATGATTTGTAAGATGTGGAAGATGTTGATTTCGTCGTTTGGTGGTGAATCGAGACCACTAATTATTCGCTATTATTGTCACGAACATCTGAGGGTTTTCATTATCGATGGGAATTCTGAAAAAGAGTGTCGGTCGAGGGCCCTCGAGTCGGTAAAGTTTGGTTATGTTGTTGGTTCTTGCAATGGATTAATCTTGCTGTCAAAAACGGGTATGGATCTCTATGATAGGGAAAACCGGTGGAATAAACATGTTGTTTTGAATCCTAATTCCAAAAATAGAGGAGTCACAATAATCAATGGTCCTTCCGGGGGAGGTACTTTGTGCGGGTTTTTCTTCCATCCTAAGGCAAAAGAATGTAGAATTCTTAGTGTAAGACAATCTAACAACAATCAGTTTGAGTATCATCTTTACCTATTTGGAGAAAAGAGATGGAGAAGAACTAAGAAGCTGTATTTTTCTTACCGACCGGATATTCGGCAAAGGTCGATGAACTTTGAAACAAGGATCGATGACCGTCCAGCTATTGCGAATGATGCGCTTCACTGGTACATCAGTATCGTTGGTGAAATCATGGTATTTAACATGATTACCGAAGATTTCTCGACCAAACACTGTCCTGTCATCGTTGACAAAGGAGGCTACCATTTGCAACATCTTTCGGTGAAAGACAACCAATTGTGTTTTTGCTATGTCGGTCGTGAAGATCAAACCATGGACATCTGGATTCTGGAGGATTATACAAACTGGTATTGGACTAGAAAGTATGTTGTTGATCTTGATTGGGACCTCAACAAGTATCCATCGGGAGAAAACATTATGTCTGCGGATTTCTTAAGTGCTGTAAGAGTTATCTGCATTCAAAAGAATGAGTTGGTGTTGTTTTGGAAACATAGAGGAATGTTTTCCTATCGTTTAGACAAAAATACAGTTAAGAGAATTCGATTGAGAGAGTCTGATATGGATTGCCCAATGCCAGATTATGATTGGTTATGTGGCTTTCAGGCTTATCATCCATTCCAATCAATTAATGAGTTAACATGAGTCTAAGTGGAAGATTGTTACATAGTAGATTAAAAATCTCGCTTTTATCTATGAATAATTTATTTTAAATAAAGTTTATTCATTTTAGTCATTTGCCAGAATTAATGCATGTGTCTTTCAACTACTTTTAATTAGCTTGCAATTGGACGTGTCTAGTTAGTTATTTTATTAATTTTTCGATTGGTTTAAACCCTTTTAATAAATATATAAATTTAAAATATTTAAATATTAAAAAATATATTTTAAATGAAGAAAGTGGATTTTTTTTTTAAGTTACCAAAAAGAAGCTACTTCAAAAGTAGTCAATAAAAAATGGTTAATAGCACTTTGCCCTCCAAACTATCGAGCGTTTTGCACGTTACTCCCTAAACAATGTTTTTTTATAAACTTTTACCTGAACTTGTCAAAGTGTTGCACAGTGCCTTAAATTTGCTATTTCTGTTCATTTCTTTGCAGGAATGTCTGCACGCGCGTAGCATGTGAGTTTTTTGAGGGTACAAAAGTCCATAAACTAAGGATCGTAAGCTTTCTCGACCCGAAGGGAGTACACTTACAACTACGTATGTCGATATATATACTCATATAAATATATACTTATATATAGCACATATAGATTATAAATAAACCATGGATCAAGTACTTTCTTCGACCACGCAGGTTTACGAAAACCATGGATCGAAGTTTCCTTAAGATCATGCGGGTCTAATATATATATATATATATATATATATATATA